TAAATTTCGACATTTCTCTTTCGACATTTTTGTTTTCGACTTATCGTACGGATCCCATAATTTAATAAATTTATTATGGTCGAAATGCAACCGTGGACGCCAGGCCAGTTGGAAGTGAAGCTTGCAAATGTTTGCTAAATCCTGTTCGCGCAAAACTTAGTAAGCTTCCCTCTTCGGGAGAGTAAGATACCTTATTTATTCTCTGAATTTTGTTACTTGCTAATTCTTACTGGCATTTGCATAGCGAACAGAACTATTGTGTGTGTGAGTTTGAGTTTTGAGTTTTGAAATTATATTGCTGGCAAACGTCCGACTGCCTCTCAATGGTTATATTTATATTAACAGAATTTTCATCTGCGAATTGCTGTTGAGACGGAATAAAATCGTGCTATTATCGAAGCGAATGATTAGTTGCGCTCGCGTACCTATTAATTATTGAAAGTTATCTAAAACTATCAGCTTTTTGCGTTCGCGTTGGCAAAAAAACTTGCAAAGTAGGGAAAATTGAGAGGACAAAACGACGTTTCATTTTGAGGGGAAGCTGTTAGTTTCCGCTGGAAAAAAATTTTGCCAACAGCTGGTAGGAATTTGCGCAAATCACAATATTGAATTTGACGGTTTGGAAGTTAAAAATGATAAAATGCTTTTAATTAAACTTGTACGAACTACGTAGTTATTCGTTTAATCAATAAACTATGTCAGGATAACACTTTGTGATGAGTTTTCGTAAGTTTTAAATTTTACACTTTTGAATGTAAACAAAATTATATCAGCTGTTCGTCTAACTTGCAAGTTTCTGCAAATTTTCTGTGCGTACTGTTCTGGATATTCTTCTCTTTTGAGAGAACAGATGACATTTCGCCGGAATTTTGCTGTTGGATGTTTTTTACTGGAGATTTTAAAGGAACATACCTATTATTGGCGATGAAAAATGGGTCAAGCACGAAACTTGGTAGAATTGATTATTGATGAATTGATCACCTGAAAAGGCGAGGGTTAAACATATTGACGTAAAGAAGTTCTAGATACCGAAACTCATATTAAACATGTAAAAAAGTGTAAGTTCAGGCGAAGCCGAACATTAAATACACACATCAAATATTAAACATAGTTTTTTCACCTTTCCGAAAACTACCTTTACATATCACACATCTTCGCTGGTATGTTCAGGTAAACTTAATGAGATAAACTTATATCGTCGATGTTTTTGCAAAACCGCCCATCGACCAGTTTCAGTTTTGCAAAAACCTCGACTTCTTTTCAAGCGATTGTTGTGAGTATGAATTTGACGTTCCCACGACAGTCGGGTCTACGTAACCAGAACGACCAAGGACTGTCACTCCAGCAACACTCCCCAAAAACTCTTTGGGGAACTTGTATGCTGCTACAACAACAACAACAGTATGAATTTTGAGTAAATTAGCGTGCTTAAATTTCGAAACATCGAAATTTCAAGCATTTCTGAAATTTACCGTTATATAAAAAGTGGGTGTAAGTTTAGTCCGATCGAACGGTTACCGAGATACATATAGGTGGTCGGTCATAAGTCGGGCCATTTCCAAAATTTTGTTGTAAACGTAGTTTTTGCTAAAGAATTGTTGCAATCAATTTTGAATAAATTAGCTTCAGTATTTACCGATTTATCGAAGATTTCTCTAATTTACTGTTATATGGGATGTGGGAGTCGTCACTGTCCGATTTTTTAAATTTTCAGCCGTTTGGTATGTTTTACCAAGAGCAACAACTGCGCCAAGTTTGGGAGCGGCAATGTCTTAAAAGGAGTTTAAGATATCTTAAAGGAACTAAAGGAAAGAAAATAGTTTTTAAAGAATTTTTAGATAAGCCTCTACATACTCAAAAAAAATCTAAAATTTAATTGGCTATAAAACTGCATACTCAAAAAAATTTAAAAAAAATATATAATTTTTGCACAATTTTTGAAATATGAATTTATATGGTTTTTGTTAGATAATGATATATTTAAAAAAAAAATTATACAATATTAAATAAACAAAAGCAAAATAGGAAAAATATGTTAAAATGTCGTGTCCCTACCCAATTAATATTGGGCTTGGTTAGCAATTCGAAAATGATATATTTTTCGAGTCTCA